AGCTTGCGCAGCATCCAGTTGAGCACCTGCTTGATGAGGATGGAGATGACATTGAAGAGCGAGTAGATGCAGCACACGCCGAGCAGGATGAAGAGGAAGTTCCCCAGGCGGTACAGCCCCTGGTTCCGGTAGGCGGCGTGCTGGCTGCTCACCAGGTCCCCGAAGCCGATGGTGCTGAAGGTGACGAAGCAGAAGTAGAGCGAGTCCACGTAGTCCCAGCCCTCCACGCTGGTGTACATGGCCGAGGCGCAGCAGGACAGCAGCACGGCGAACAGGCCCAGAATCAGCAGCACGTGGTACACCGAGGGCTTCCAGCCCGCCAAGCAGTCGGCCTCCGAGAGCGCAGAGCCGCGGCCGAAGGTGGCGGGCAGCAAGCCGCTGCGGCGCAGCTGGTGCTCCCGGCAGGCGCGCATGATGAAGGCCAGCAGCGAGATGATGCGCTCCAGGAAGAGGTTGAAGAACAGGATGGTCCCAGCGCAGCCAAACAGCCCATAGGCGATGAGGAAGGCCTTCCCACCCACCGTGGCGGGGGTGGTCATGCCGAAACCTGTGGAGACAGGGCAAGGGTCAGGGAGGTCCCGGCTGGGCAGGAGGCCCTATGGGGTGGGCGCTGTGTATATGCAGGTGATGACATGGCTCCTGTCTGGAGTGGTATCACTCAAGTAGAGGGGAATCAGTATTCAGACATTTCTCTCCCTTAGTGGCACTAGACATTGTTTCTGATCTTGGCAGCCCATAAACTGTTGGAGGAGACATGGCCCCTCCTGTTGGGGATTATAAACCAAAATGGGCGAGGCAAGGTGGTCACTAGGAAGGACCCATCAGGGCACAACAGAAACCACTGCACAGATGCAAACCACTGAGATGCCGCAAAGCAAGTGTCACCTGCTCTTCCACCCCTCCAATCGGTTTTTTAATGTAACAGTGGCACACCTGGGCCTTGTTAGGATAGAATGCCATAAAGGCTTCATTTTATATGGGATTTCTGGGGACCAGGTAGTGTGTTCAGTCCAGGTAGCTATATTTGATGGTCTCTGAAAAGGGGTTTATGAAACTGACAAAAGGATTGTTTGAGAAGGAGGCCACAATCTTCAGAGAGTAAACATGGCTGCCGTTGAACGTCAGCTTCTCACCCAAGGACCACGTCATTCTTGCTCACACTTGCCAAGGGAAAGGTTTTGGTTCAATGCGGGCCTGTGCTGTGTGTGTCTGGGGTTGCTTTTGTCTTGGCAGGTCTGTTCTGTGCCTGGGCAGCTGCTTATTTGCTTTGAACTCTTATAATTAAGTCTTAACTTACCCACTTATTCAAAGCACAGTCTGTAAAGGAGATTCTTTATCAATTGATTTCTGTAGAAGGCTCTGCTCATGCCATGCAGGGCCGCACAGAGTGGCAGCTCTGCGCCTCCAACCTGAGCTCTCAGCCTGCTGCTGGCTGTAGTCTCTCTGTGGGACTCATGGTTGCCTGACTCTGGTTACAGGAGGGGGTTTCATCTCTTTGTAGGAAGAGTCGCTGCTGCTTGGAGTCTGAGCTGAAAATGAATCATCTGTCTGAGTAGCACTATGGCACCCGTCAACACCTCTGCAGCAGAGGTCAGAAGTGAATTCATACCCAATGTCAGGAGGGCTACCTGTGCTGCTAGTGGGGTGGGGCCAGCCCCAGGAAGTGTGTGTGTGGTGTGTGTGTGTGTGTGTGTGTGTGTGTAGAGTTTTGTCTCCCTGGGCTTACTATCTCCTTAAAAGGGTCTGAGAAAATATTTTTTAAGAGTAATTCCTTAAGCCTGTGTGTTAATCATTCTCTAGATTCCCTGGAGGAAATGCCCACTTGCCTGACCATGATCTTGATTTTATGCCTAATGACTCAAGTTAGGAGAAAATCTTATGATCATGACCCTCACGTCGAGGAAGATGGATTATATCCCTAGATTTAGAATTTGGCCACAAGAGAATGAAAAACCAAATTAGCAATGTAACCAGGAATTTGATAGAGGAATTTTGCTCCTATTTAAAGCCAAATTCAAGTTCTTAAGTTCATTAGAAAAAAAAAATTAACCTGATTTACTTCTTAGGTGCAGGTTTGCTTTCAACGGTTTCAGTTACCCATGGTCAACCATGGTCTGAAAATATTAAATTCCACAAATAAAAAATCCATAAGTTTTAAATTATCCACCGTTCTGAGTAATGTGGTGCAATTTCATGCCATCCTGCCTAGGACGTGAATCCTCCCTTTTCCAGCACATCCACTCTGTATATGCTTCCCGCCCATTAGTCACTTAAGTAGCCAGCTTGGTTATCACATCAACCAGTATTGCATGAGCATCTGTCCTCCTGGATGTCCCTGAATGATGGAACCAGAATGAGACCTGTTTCTCAGCCCCCCAGTTCTCCTTCTCTACTGAGGTAGGGCCTCTACAAGGCAGCACCACCAGATATGCAGCTGGAAGATCAACCACCACCCATTCATTCATTCCTCAGCAGACGTGTACTGGTGACATAGTTTGGCAGGCCTCATACTAGGCTCAGGGATATGGTGGAAAACCAGACAGATGCAGTCCCTACCCTCACAGAGTCTCTGGGTTGCCTTCTTAGAGGTTTTGTACAGATGCTCACCCCTCTGCTGCCAGCAGCTCATCCCTGAGCCAGGGCACAGCTTTCCCCTGCTGCCTCCACAGAGAGGCTGGGCCAGAACTTGTCTTGGGGTCTCCTCATGGTCGTGACTGCAGGCCTAAAATGATCTCAAATGCTTGATTGGCTGTGATTGTGGCACTGTCTGCCCAGAAGTGGATAGGCAGGTCACAAGGTTCTCTGACAACACAGAGGGCACCCAACGCAAATGTCCCTCTCACTGGCCCAATTCCTGAGGTCTGAGCTCTGGGGAAGCTGAGGCCCTGGGGTCAGGCTTCCTGCTGAGGGCAGTGGGGTCCCTGCCTGGGCTGCCCCTTCTCAGAGTGGAGGAGTGGTCCCCTGAGCTCTGACAATCTGTGGGAGCCAGGCTGGCTCTGGAGAGGGGCCTTGAAGCTTCAGGCAGAGAAAAGACAAACCCAGCCATCCTGAGAACCCCTCCTTCCCCAATCACACCCTGCAGAGGCGTAATCTGTCCCCGGGTTTGCACCAAGCCTGCTATTTTGTTTATGCCACAATTGATCTGCCATCCCACTTTGCAAAGAGCAGACACTTGGGGGCTTTATTGTGCTACTTTGACAAAAGCTGTGAAGCTCATTTGCACAGCCTGTCTGGTGCCGCCTTCGCAAATGGGGCCCTAGTGACAGGGCCTCCAGAGTTCAGCTCAAGGAATCTGGAATCGAGATGGGGAGGCCAGTTCTGATCTGTTTCGGTGGCTCTAGGTAGAGCCTCTTTGCCAGATGCTGGACACGTCAAATTCCTCCAGCCACCCTGTGAGGGAAGCATCATCAACCCAACAACGTAGGCCAGGACATGGGCCAAGGGAGTTGAGGGTACTCCCCATGTTATAGTTTGTAAGTGGCTGAGCTGACCCTGGAGCCCTTCCCACTGTGCCAGAAGACGGGAAGTCTTGGCTCACCACCTCAGGCACCCTGTCCTGTTGGTTCTGTAGTATCAGCTCCGAGGAGGAGAAATATAATTGACAGTCCAATCCAGGGTACTTTTGAGAGTAAAAAGACACTACTAATAATTACCCCAGAACAGCATATATAAACCAGGGCTGTTCCAAGCAACTGGAATGCATGATTAAAAAGCAGATTCTGCCCTAGCCGGTTTGGATAGAGCGTCAGCCTGTGGACCAAAGGGTCCCGGGTTCAATTCCAGTCAAGGGCAGGTACCTTGGTTGCAGGCTCCCCTAGGGCCTGGGCCCTGGTCGGGGCTCTTGCAGGAGGCAACCAATCAATGTGTTTCTCTCACATCAATGTTTTTCTGTCTTTCCTTTTCTCTTCCACTCTCCCTAAAAACCAATGGAAAAATATCCTCAGGTGAGGATTAACCCCCTTCCTTCCCCCGCCATGCAGATTTCAAGGCAGGTCCCACTCCAGAGGTTTATTTAGGAGGTCAGGAGAGGGACCCAGGAATTTGCATCTAGCAAATGTCCCCTGATGATTCTGATGCAAATGGGCTAAAGCACTTCCTTTAAAAAACAATGTTATATGGTATCCCCAGTGCCCCTTCTGATTGGAATCTGCCCAATTTCAAATACTTTGATTGAAATTTCTGTTCTTAATTTTAGATTTATTGAGATACTAGAGGCCCTATGCATGAAAGTCCTACAAGAGTAGGCCTTCGAAGCCCTGGCTGCCTCAGCCCTTGCAGCCTTGGCTTTGTCCGGAAGGTTGTCTGGAAGGACGTCTGGACGGTCGTTCTGCTGTTTGGCCGTTCAGTTGATTTGCATATTATGCTTTTATTATTATAGATCGTTGACATAAAATGGTAAGCTATTTAAAGTGTACATCATGATGCTTTGTTGATCTTTCCTGACTGCCCAGAGGGGGGATTAACAGCCTCACTTTAATAATCAAGCAGCCTGAAACTCACACCCAAGGCCAGGGCAGCAGCCAGACCTTCCAGTGCCCCTCCCTCTCCAAACAGGGAACAGAGGGAGTGTGGGTGGGCTGTGGGGTGGAGGGTGGATGGTGGGGCTGCTGTCAGGCTTCTCTGTGGCTGGAGCTCTGACACTGACTCTCCAGGAGAAAAAGGGAGGCTTCTGGCCATGCTCCATGGAGGAGGGCTGGACCTGAGAGGCTTCCCTAGGACCCTTAGGGCTGTCCATGTCATCCTTATCCAAGTCACTTTTCTGGGGAGGACAACCAGCTTGGATAAATCCAGAACCTTTAGGGAGAAGAGGGGCTGGAAGAATGGCTGGGAAAAGTCATTAAAGCATTCAGTGAGGAGTGAAAATGTGGAGGGGGTAATAGTGGCTGATGGTGTTGAGCCCTCACTATTTCCAGGCACTTTGCCAAGACTTCGTGTGTATCAATGCATTTCATCCTCACAACAACTCCGAGCCACTCACTCATTCTAAGTCACAGCTTTTCCCCTTGAATTTTAACATCCCTGAAATCAGAATGGATCTTACAATCGATGGCCTGACAGTTTATTTGACAGCATTTAAAATTCTTAATGGTATGTAGTAGTGGTACATTTGTAATCGATAGTGTCTTAGATTTGATGAATGACACTGAGAATGATTATCATTCCCAATTGTGAGATTAATAAACACAGTCATTTAGTAGGTAAAGATACTGAGGTTAAATAACTTGCCCAGATCATAGAACAAGCAAGTGGCAGAGCCCAGATTTGAAAGCAGAGGAAGGAGCTTGCGACGTGATAAGGGAAAAGCCAAACGCACAAGAGTTGGGGAGAAAAAGAAGCAGGTTGCTTCTGGCTGGCACAGCAGTTTTTACTCTGGCTGCACAATCGAATCACCTGGGAAACAAAACTATCCCCAAGGCCCAGGTGCACCCAGACCAGCCTCTTCGTACAGTGATTGGGAAAGACAGAGAGGAGAAGGTACTTGTATTCAGGCCTGAGGGGTGGGTGGTGGTTTGAGAAAGGCGCGCCCCACTGGGAGGGTGCACAGGG